GAGAACAGGAACTGTGCCTTGTGCAGCACCTCGCTTCTTCAAAGCTAGTCCTAGAGCTGTTTGGATGACTGCTGTGTGTTTTGGCAGGTGGAGGTTCATTCCAAAGGAACACAAACAGCCAAAGAGGAGATGGAAGTGGATCCGAAACCTGACTTGGATTCAGATTCCTGGTGTCTCCTGGGAACGGACTCGTTCCGCTCCAGCCTCTAGTCTCCTGAGCCCACTGGGATCCATCTAACTTCACAGCACACTAACCGAATGCAGAGAGCGGCTTTCCTGGCTTCAGGTCACTCGCAGACAAGGAGCGAGGCCGGAGGCTCCAGAGCAGCACCCATGTACGTTTGATATGAACTAGGAGTGAGTTTGAGAGGGGAAGGGCCCCTGAGCTCTAGGCCAGCTCAGTGATTGAAGCAGCAGCAGCTCCTCTTTGTACCTTATCTGTCAATTCCGCAGGAGGCAGAATGGCCCCGTTACGGCAATGGCTCCAGTAGCAGCTTGTGGCCCTTTCATTGTTTCACTGCTTCATGGGAGCTGCCTTTGGGACCCCAGTATTCATCACTGCATCTCTAGATGAGAGGAGGAGACATGTTTTGTACTGAAGCTGGCTGAACCCTAAGACTCGCCACCTTCACTTCAGAGGGGTGAGGGACAAGGATCCTTCCCCTACCACGTGGTAAGGCCCAGCCAGTGAGGCTGCTCCCCTCTGCTCCGGGGCAGAGGGAGCAGAGGACATCTCATTCTAGAGGCAGGAGATCTTCCTGTTAGGGAGACAACGATAGACAGCATGTCCCTGGCCTTTGAGGCACGGCTTCTGACCATGTAGCTGTGTCCAGTGGCCTGTATACACAGTTTCAAGGCTTTATTCTGGGTGCCTAGAGCTTTCCAACTTCCAGGCAATGCACTGAGATGAGCGAATTGGGTGTTTCCAATAGCAGTACTGGGGACTGTCTGAGATGGGATCTCTGGTTCTCAGTTTCAGACCACCTGCTTCCCAGCCAGAGGACAAGTGTCTGGGCCTCAGGCTAAGTCACCCATTTCTTGCTCCAGCTGTTAAACTCGGTTTGGGTGCCAGAGCTTCTGGTTTCTTGGCATAAGCCTGTAGCTGCTCCCTGCTTGGCTTCTGTTCTGCTGAGACCCTGGTGCCCATGCTCTGCGTGGGTGTGGGAAGAATCGGTGTTTTTCCACTCTGTGTTTTGATGAAGCTGGAATGCAGTTTCCTACCCAGAATAGGTCATTAGTGCCGTGGTCACAGGATGCAGCCTTCCCCAATAACCATGAACGATCGAGTCTCTGTCTGGAATTCATCTTTCTAAAAGCAAGAGGCTTTCCCAAGAAAATTGGAGATGGGAAGAGGCATGGTCTTATGCTCAAGATTTCCTCATTTCCTGTTAGAGAATGAGGATAACTCTCTTCTCCTTAAATATATTAGCAAACTGACTTTGAACTGAGCTTTTGGGATTGGTAGGATCCCTGGGAGCAGTTAGCCTCCCCTGCCTTACATGAAGCCTCTGAGAAGTCCCAAGTCCCTCTCACCCTTGCTGTCAGAGTGGGGTTGTGATTTCATTGGGCTGAAACCATCCCCATCAACGGCATGTCACTACAGTTGCCTTAGGTCTGTTGGAGCTGGATTTCCTGTCACCTCTCCTAGACTTCTTTTGAGAGACTGTTCTGGGGCAGCCAGCATGCCCTATTTGTCTCTAGAGGTGGATGTCAAATCGTCCTGCTTGTAACTTATGATCCTTAAATACCGTTTTGGTGCCTATTGGTAGTATCTGGGAGCTGAATCAAGTGCAGTCCCTCCAGTGCAGTGTCCAGGGCAAGGATCGTACTGGGATGGCCATCCATTGTCACTGAAGGAAGGGCAGGAGGACAGCTCTCCTGGAAGGTGGCGAGTGTCAGGTTCCCTGGTGTGGCCATGTCACTTGGTTGCCCTTGTGACCGCTCTCCTGTCCCCAATGTGTGTTGGAGCCAGTTCTCGGGTTAGGGTCCCGGCTTAAGGGTTGTTGTTGCAGTTGGAAATGATTGAGTTATGTTGCGGCAGTGCCTTTGAGGAGTGAAGAGTTGAGCCTGAGCCATGTCCAATAAGCAAGCACCAAGCTGATGGGAGTCGCTCTCCTGCAGTGCACTGCTATCCTCATTGCTCAATGCTCTGCAGTTGGGAAGCTAGGTGCACAGACTGGATTCCCCTTGGATCTGGTGGAGGATTAGGGTCCCTGACAGAGGATGCCCTGTGCTCCACAATCTCATATGTGCCTTAGAGGATTCACGCTATCCAGGTTGTGCCTGTTACAGACCACAGATTTTCACACCAGCCAGCTACGCAACCAAAAAAGCAGTTTAAAGCCAGCACCTTCATCTTGGGCTGAAAATGAAAGAGCAAGTGGGCAGAAGTGCCTTTGAGCAGTTTCAAACCCTTTTTACTTCTCCCCTTCTTGCAGTGCTAGCTCCGTACGTGTTGGTCTCCTGCCAGTATTGCTACTGAGTTGTTATAGTGGAACACAACTTATGCCTGCTCTGACACTCTGGCTGAAAACTAGTTTGTCGTTGTCTTTTTTGAAAGGTTAAAGGGTGGAGTGGTTTGGAATTTCTGTTTAAATAAATGTTTAAACTCATTCTCCTGTGTTTGGAGTTGTTTGGTTTTGTTTGGTGTTGGTTTTTTCCCCAAGAGAGGAAGGGGAAATATGCATATAGGCAGCTGGCTTCATAGCATCCTGTTCTTTGATTATCTTTTTTTTTAAACTTTAGAAAGAGGGTGAAGGGCCTTGCAGGTTCTTTGCTATGAGAAAAAAAAATAAGTCAGGTTCTGCATCCCTTCTTAAAAAAAACCCCAACAACCCAACAAACAACCAACAAAACAACTCTTCTCTTGCTGCTGCATCACCTCCGGGTGACGTCAGGGATCTTTTGTGTGTGTTTGTTTCAACAGTCTGAGTGCCAAGTGGGAAGTGAGTAATGGGAAGAGAGAGGCTCAAAGGGAAGAAATACCTGGTTCTTTGGGAACAGCTTCTACTGAGCACTAAGGCCTACAGAAGTGAGAACCTGCCTGACACCTGCTTGGCCAGCTGTTCCTGCACTTCATGCCTGTCACTGCTGACTTTTTATCAGGGTTTTTAGTAAGTTGTGAAATGTTTTGAGAGGTAGAGCTGGGTTAAAGATTTAAAATTCACTAGAGATTGAGGTACTTGAAAATGCAGCGTGTCTCTGAGAGGGAGCAAAGAAGGGTTAGCTCTGAAACAAAGATAACAAATGAAGCCTGCTCATTTAATTTCAATAACTTTTGTTTAATCTACGGTTTTAATCTCAGTGTTAGCTGTTTGCCTGTCACTTAAGAGAAGGCCCCAACAGATGGATTTATTCTACAGAATCAAAAGCTTTCCTGTCACCATTTGTGCTCTGCTGACTTGTAGGGTCCACTAAACACAGTGACCAAAATGTAGTGCAAGGGAAATGGAGTTCTGAACTTCTGAACTACTCGATTTTAAATTCTAGTACACCTTTCATTAATTCAAGAAGGCTGGAATAAAGTTTTACCACTCTCCTTCCTCTTGTCACCTCTTGCCATCCTGTATTTCGAAGCTCTGAGGTTAGAGAATTGGTCTTGCTTTTCGGATCAATTTGGACGTAGCAGATTATTTTCCCTTGTTTCGAGCCTGTTTGGTTTTCTCCTCTCTGTGTTTGTACACTCTTACACCTGGCTGGCAGAGTGCAGCACTGAGCCTTTCTGGGACCTTCATGCTTTTCTAGGTTGTGCCAAAGGATTGAGATTTCTCCCACATATCTATAGGGCAAAAGCTCTCCAACCTCTTCCAGGAGTCAGGTCCAGCCCCTGAAGGCTGGAGTGTTCCTTCATATTTGGCTTCTGCCTAGGCCAGTTGAATCTAGTTGCTTTTTGTCCTTTTCTAGGCTCCTATGAGCTGCTGCTACATTACCAAAGGACTTGCAAAAGAAGCTGCTGGAATTTTTTCGTTTCTTGTTTGCTTCCCGTTGCAACTTCCTCATACAAAGTAGTCATTCTTACTTTGAGAACACAAACCACTCTGTGGCCATTTAAAACAGCTTTCACGCAACAGAACTAGTCTAATATATTCAAAATTAGAATCTGGAAAAATAACTGACTTAGAAATGGGCAGGACCTGTCCCCAATTACAGGGTGCTACAACAAATAGGACAGAGCACCAGCAATGATAAAGCATCAGCTCTGGATCCTGTTGTTCAGTGCAGGTACTGTGTGCTGCAAAAAAGTTACCTGCTTGCATAGCTCCCTTCTCCCCTGACTTTTTCAAATGCCCTGTCTAAATGCTAAATGGTTTTGAGGGATGTATAGACCTTTCTATGGCAAAAAAAAAAGTGGAACTTCGCATCCCAATCTCTTGGGGGTTGCTACAATAAAAATGCTACACCAGTCAGAATCACTGTTGGCACGTTCAGGGGCAAATGTCTGCACCTACAGAGCAGTAAAGCCTACAAAATCAGCTGCTCTGCTTGGCCCAGCTCTTTCCACAAACAGCATTACTCTTTGCTTTTGGAGAAGGAAAAAGACTGAGTCCACAGCCACTGCTGAGCTAAAGGAGAGCTTCACATCAGATACCACTGCTTAAAACAAACAAACAAACCAAAACAAAACAAAAAAGCCCAAGCCTCCCTAACCTACAGGCAAAACATTATTCTGAAGAATAGCCCCTTTCTGCTGGCTGGTTTGCTCCTTGCTGCTGTCCTGCTGACAGCCTGCAGCAACACCCTTTCTTCCCTGCTCAGCTGGCCAAACGGTGACAGCTTTGCATCTGCACTGCGACTCCGGTTGAGCTCACTGGCCAAGGAGCCTGCATGGAGGGGAGGGTCACAGTCCACAAGTTCTGGTGTTCTGCCTGTACGTCCTGAGCCGTTCAAGTGCTGTACAGACAAGCTCAGTGCTCACAGCGTGTTGAGACTGGGGTAAGCAGCTGGAAGCCTGGCAGAAAACAGGCAGGGTCTCATAGCAGCAGGAAGAGCTGGGCACCACCTCAGCAGCGTCTCTTCTGCAGTGGGGGTGGGGGCCTGTTCTTGATGGTTTTGCATTTGGAAATATGTCTGTCCGCTGCGTGGGGAGCAAATTGGCGTCTGCAGTAGGGGCAGGCAATGTAGTCTGGGTTTTTGATGGGAGGCAATGCAGGCAGGTCAGACACCTTCCCTCCCTTGGAGAGGACTTGCTGCGCCTGGCGGGCCTGGTGCAGCGTCTGGATGAAAACCTCGTGCATCTGTCTCCAGTTGTTCCTTCTGGGTGGCTTGTTCTGCAGAAGGGAAAGGCAAGTCAGAGCAACTGGCACCACCATCAGTCTCCAGCAGCCTCACCATTCTTGGTCTGACACTCAGAGTCCAGCTCAGGTCACTCATCCCTGGGCATGCCCTGGTGGTGTCAAACCCTCACTGAGAAGCTGAGTCCCACAAAGGGGATCAAAAAGACCCAAACCAAGGAGGATTTGAAGGAGACATCAATACTTAGAAAGGGCTTGTCAATCATCAGAAAAGCAAGCAGTAAAGCCAAGGAGCCAGAGAGGGTTGCTATAGCTGCCGTGAAGGAACAAAGCTGCAGGTTTCCACTGCCTTTGTTTTAACAGCCAGTATTATCACCTAGATTTTCAGTCAGACACCTGCAGCCCCTAGTGCCACAAAGCTCTACTGGAGCAGCCTCAATCTGCATCCTGAGCAATCTGACTACAGCAAGGAGTGAGCTTTGTACAGGAGAAAAACCCTTGACACGTTACAAAGACAAGTCAGTAAGGACCCCACCTATTAGATTTTAAATGGATTGATTTGTCCATTTGGTGAGAACCTTTTGGAGGCAACAGCCTGACTGCATCCCTTAGCCCCATGTACACATGAAGGTGCTTGTGTGTCAGAATTAGATGTTGAGGTGGAAGGAACGTGAGAAATAGATAGTGGATTGAGGGAGGCAAAGAGGCTGCACATTACCTGAGGCGTCTCTGAGCTCTTCAGCTGCTGATGCTGTTCCAGTTCTGTGCCCCTAACTCTGGCCTTTCTGGAGTCAAACACTTTCCTCTTGGAGCCTTGGCGCTTGCCGCAGATACTCATGTGCTTCTCAAGCCTCATGCAGAGAAATTTACGCCCACAGAAGCTGCACTGCCTGAGCTCCTCCTGCTCCACAGGGCTGGTAGCCTGCATGCTCAGCACCTCCACTGACAGGTGATCACCAGAATCTCGGTTTGAGAGGGCAGAGGGAGAAGGGATACGTTTTGTGGCCAGCTCTGAACAAGAGGCTAAATGCTCCATGGGTACATGGTCTCGAATTTTGCTGTTGCTGGCCATCAAACGCTCCTTCTTGAGTTTCCAGATAGCCAGCTCTTGGGGGCGAAGGATAGTGCCAGGCTTGGAGACAATGGCCTCTGCAGACTGTGCCCAACCAAAGACCTCATCAACTGGCCTGACTGCAACTCTGGGAGTTTTCTCTTCAGGATGCCTTGTGGCCTTCTGCTCATGGGTCCTCTCCCTGTCTCTTCTCTCTGCCTTGACAAGCTCCTTCTCTCTTTGAATCCTTCTAAGCTCCTGTTTTGTTCTCCTCAGCTTCTCTCTGAGGAGGGCCTCTTTCTTTCGAATTTCCTCTTCCAGGTTCTGTCCCTCTGCCTCCAGCTTTAGGATGTAGGCCAGCTCTCTCCTGTGTAGATGGGAGGTTGACTGTTCAGGCTCTGCTGTCCAAGGAGAGAACACTGCACCTAGCTGAGACCTCTCTGCCAGAGGCTTCCATTTGCTCTTTGAGCTAGGCCTACTATTTGGAGCTTCCTCCATGTATGGGGAGCTTCCAAGCTGTGCCGTGTTGACCACTGGAACACTCACACCCATGTGGTGAAAAATGGGTTTCAGGGGATATGCACGGTCCACTCCTTCTTTCCGTCTGGCTACTGATTTAGCTGGCAGAGTCTTGGTCTGGCTGGTGGGATAGTTGCTCTGCAGTCCAGCTGAACAGAAGCCTTCGTGCCTGGAGCTGTGTTGACTGCTTTCTGCAGAAAGAGAATGCGAATAACTTTGACTCTTTCGGGCGTAGAGATCCTTTAAACTTTCCTCTTTGTCAGGTGTGAGTTCATGCTGAAAGTTGCTCTTCTGGGGCTCTAGCTGGGAACTGGGAACAAGCTTAGTAGATGCCACCACAGAATCCACGGGTGGAAACAAAGCCATTCAGTGCCTGAGAAAGAGCCTGAGGTTAGAAGCAAAGTCATTACAGACAATCCTATCCAAAACTAGATGAATTTTCTCCTAACAGTCTACACCTGGAGGCTACAATGAGAGTCTGTAATAGATACTAGCAAAGGTTTTGTAACTTTTCTGGGTTCTGTAAATCTTTATATTTCTTCTATCTGGGGAGCTCCCATGCTGCTTCTTCCTGTCTCAATCACTTATGTAGCCAGAAATAAGATATGCTTTTATTTCACTATCAGTCTGAGCCCCGTGTCATTGTTGTAGCAGCAGAAATACACTGTACTGCCCGGGAAATTGTTACACTCTGCAGAGTGTGTCCCCACAATGTGTTCCTTCAGTTCTGGCATTGCAGACCCAGTGTGGCACGCAGGTCTGACACACAGATGTCCCGTAAAGCTCAGTACAACCTTCCCGTGGCTCGTCCTACCGCATCCCCCGCAGTTTGTCAGGTACCCAGGCCGCGGGCGGGGGCGCGGGGCCAGCGGGGTTACCTGCGGGGCTGCGGCCGGCGCTCCGCCCGGCCTCCTCGGCGAGCTGAGCCGCCTCCTGTTCCGCTCATCCGTCTC